CCTACCCCCACGTCTCTGCCCTCCCACCCTGCCCCCCACCCGGGTAGCCATGTGTGCGATCCAGTCTCCCAGCTCGTTCTCGTTGTTCGTGGTTTTTTCTTGCTTCTTTTAATGACCTTTTTGTAACCGCGTGTGTCGCCCTCGGGGAACAATAAAGACGTGTACAGACGCCCGCCTCTGCCTGCCTCTGTCCCCGCCGCCAGCTGGGGCTCTCGAAGCCCCGAGCTCCACGTGCTCCCTGCAGCCCCTGAGCCCTGCCCCCTTCCAGGCCCCGCCCCTTTTGCCCAGACCACACCCTCTGAGGCCAATGTTTGTGCCCTGCCCTTTCCAATGGATTGGCCACTGATCTTGTGGGGGGGAGTGGGATAGGACCCAGGAGTCCCGCCTCTCAGCACCTCCTGCTCTAGCTCACTGGACCCCAGGTCTGGATCCCAGTGCTGGGGGAGGGGAAATCGCCCATGGGGGAGGCTGTATGGGCCGGAGAGTAATTTATTTACCCACCTTGCAATCGCCAGTGGTTTGGCCCAGTTCTCTGTTCTCATCCTCTGAACCTACATTAGTTTGATCCACCCCCCAGAACCCATATTGGTTTGTTCCAACCCCCCCAATCCCATAATAATTTGTTCTGCCTCCCAGGAGCCCACATTTGTTTGATCCACCCCCCAGAACCCATATTGGTTTGATCCATGCCCCCCCCTCCCCAACCCATATTAGTTTGATTCACTGCCCCCACCCATCCCCCGCCACATTAGTTTGGTCCAACCCCCCCCCTTTATATTGGTTTGGTCAAATGCACTTCCATTCCTTTTTTTATTGATTTGCTCCAATTTGTTGTTTCTCTCTCCCCCACCCCCCATAACTGCCTTATATTGGTTTGGGCCAATCTCCCCTATAATTCCCTCAGATTGGTTTGATCCAAATTGCTCCTCCCCATTGGTTTCTTCCAACCCTCTCTCCCCGATGCCTCATCTTGGTTTCGTCCTCTCCCCCACCATATAGTTTCCACTCCTGTTAGTTTGGTCCAATACCTCCTATTCCCCACCCCCCACATTGGTTTAATCCATTCTCCCCTACAGCCTCTGGCAGAGTGGTTTGTCCCACCTCCCCTATGACCCTCACAGTGGCGTGGTCCAAGCGCCCTTATCACCCCCTCCCCCCAACTCAGCGTGGTTTAACCCAAACACCCCTTTCACACTGGTTTTACTCTAGGCAGACAAGGTTCCTTGGGTGAATTTGATATTTTTTATTAGACCAACCCAAATGGTTGGAGGTTAGTTATTAAGCAAGCTTTCAGGTTCAAAAACCCTTCGTCAGGCTAAGGAAACTTCAGCAGTTGGTGTGTGCTCTTCCTGGATCTTCCTGGTTTTACTCTATACACCTCTGGGTATCGTCTCACAATGGTTTGACCCAATAGTTCCCCTAGAAACCTTCTCAAGATGGTTTGCCCTAATACCCCTCGCTCACAATGGTCTGACCCAATACGACTTTGCAAACCTTCCCAATAGTTTGAACCGGCCCTCTATTCCCGCCTCACACGTGTTGGAACCCCTCCCCCCCCCGTACATCGAGACTCACAATGGTTTGACCCACCCCACGAACATCCCAGAATGGTTCCGTTCAACGCCCCCTACTGTGCCTGCCCCTATAGTTCGACCCCACCGCTGGCAACTGCGTGGCCTGGCTGAGAGCCACAATGGTTTGACCCAATCCCCCCATCAACCCTCTCGTTTTGGTTCGGCCCAAGCCCCACTCCTCATTGCAGCGTGTGTAACACTGGTTTAACCCCGTCAGTGGTTTGCCTCGCACTCCCCGCCTCCCCTCACAATGGTTTGACCCAACACCCCGGGTGGGGCTTCCCCAACATGGCGTGCACCGCCTTGCTCTGACGTCACCGCGCCGCGCCGCGAGCGCTGATTGGCTGCCGCCTCAGTAAGACGCCCGCGGATTGGTGGGCCACAATAGGCCAATGGGGCGGCGCTTTCTTCGGGGACTGGTAGAGGCCTGAGCAGGCGGAGGTGAGGGGGGGAACCTGGGGG